TCACTTAAATCATTTAACGACAGATATAAAGTAACATATTAGTATTTTATTTTACTTAAATCATTTAACGACAGATATAAAGTAACATGTCAAATACGAGTAAGAATTAATTAAATAAACATAACGATACATAAATTACTGAATCTTCAGACGAAAGAAGCGAAAGAAACGTAACTTACGTCACGTTTTTTCACCAAGCGATAAAATCCTCTTTCCAAGTTTTCCACAAACACGATGCAGCGATCCTCGGCATGCTTTCTACTCCGTTTCACCCATCCCGAGTTGCGAGATAATCCATTAGCCTCGTTATTTACAACGTTTCGTATTGGTAAGCGGACCAATTTGTTTACAAAATTATATAATTTATTTAATAGAAACATTGGAAACATGCAATTGGAATTTGAACATAAAGAACATCAAAAATGGACGTCAGTCAAATGTCTTGAATTAATTAAAAATTCGTATCGTATTTCGCTATTATTGCATATATTTGTTTTCGTAAAATTTATTCGTATAATTTATTGTCATTGACACGTTATACTTTACGATACGAAGTGTTAAAAATTCCCTTTTTCATCGAAGCACATCTAGACACGAAAATATCTACATAATCTATAAACTTACTCTCGCATCGCACGTTGTCGCGCCAAGATTCATCAAGATGGCAGAAAGCGGTAATTATTATTTGCTAGATTGGTAGATTATACCGTTTAACATCGTGTTCGTTACATGATATTCGTCGTTATAGGTCAGTATTCTTATTTCATACGTGTTCATACGCGGATTCGCGATTACGAAGGTTGTCTCCAGTCGGTCCGCTTTCCTTACGAACAGTTATGTAAGATTGTATTCTCTTGGACTTCGACGTAAGTTTTGTGATTGACTAATGCGTAATTGACTAATCGCGAGGTTTGCTTCTGATGAAACTTATTCACGTTCACTATGAAGGAATCGAATTGATTGGCAGGAACGTCGAGGAAGAACCGTTAGAAAAGACAGTTGAAACGTGTCGAGTGAGTGCTTATTTGTCTCCGAGAGTGCTTTGTTTCTTGAACCCGACTTTTCCCGATCAGGTAGGTCGGGCTCGCCTTCTGAGAAGACCTTGATCCTAAACTTCGTGCTGTGTAACAGTAGTATTTCAGTTATTATAAAACTGTCAATATTACATTCACATCATCAAGAAAAATTTAAAAGAATCCGAATGTTATCCGTCCATTGTTACTGTTTTGTTGAATTTGTAAATATTTACTCAGCAAACATAAAGAAATTGTAAATATTGAGAAATGATACACTTTTTCAGTAAGAATGATGCAAATATACGTAGGAACAAATTGTTCAGAATGATGACCTTGATATATTTCAAGAACATTGCAAACTTATTTCAGTTATTCGACAGATTCGCCGTCGAAGGATTTTCCGAAAAATTGAAAGAAAATAGCAATAAATATGTTGTACAAGAGGAGAAGAGAGTAACCTAGATAATTATAGAAGTATAAGTTTTCTCTGTATATCGAGCAAGTAAAATATATATAGAGTTGCTGAAAAGCGTCATAAGAATAAAAGGAATTTTCCTAAATACAGAAAGATTTAGAAAACACGGAGGTACAACAGATAACGGTACATACATCTTATAATAATATATAGTGGAGAAAGAAGACAAAAAACGAAAAGTACAGTCAATGTTTACTGATCTAAAGATTGCATTCGACACAACAAAAAAAGATAAAAATGTGAAAAACGATGAAAAAGTGAACAAAAAACGACGAAATGGGAAAGATATTGACAGAGAAAATGAAAAAAGTACAGGAAGTAGTCAAGATGAATCCAGAAGATAGACTAGAGAATTCTGTTCGTTAGACGTGATTTACCATGAACGCGAAAAAAGAATTGAAAAAATGGACAAATGGATAGGAAACTAAAATATGCTAACATAAAAAAAATGATTAGTCAGCAAATGACATGAACTTGGTGATGAACAAAGGACAGAAATTGAGGGAAATGATGAAAAGAGGAGTGATTAATAATGAAACTACTTACAATTAGATAAAAAAAGATTTGTATTGAACCCAGAGAAGATGAAAGTAATAATTTTTAGGAGAGGCAAGACGAAGAAAGTAAAATAGAGATGGAAAGGGAAGCCTATGGAGGAAGAGGAAAGAATATCAACTACTTAGAAATAAGATTCCAAGAAACTAATAACGAGATGTACAAAAGAAAGAAAGAAAAAAAGCAAGTGTAGTATTAAATCAGACATGGGAAATTGGGAAAAGAAAGTTTTTAGAAACAAATTTTAGAATGAAAATGTATCTATTCGATATGCTGGTAATCGAGATATATCTATAAAGAGTGAAGTTGTGGAGTTCCAAGAAAAAAGTAGACATGGGAAAGGTGCGATTGAAAACGCTGATGGACACTTGGTTTCAGTATTCTAAACTACCTGGTGCTAGAAGAAACAAAAAAAAATGATATTTGAAGAGGTTAGAAGTGACGAAAAGAGGGATAGGAATATCTAAAGTAAAAGAAGAAACACAAAGCACAGACTAAGAGCTAAAAAGGATATCTAAACAAGAATAAACTCATCAAAACCGAACAAGAATAGAAAAGAGAAAAAGAGATGTTAAGGAATATATATATGTGTATATATATATATATGAATAATATAATTCAGGAATTATTTTCGAAATTATTTCGATTTATCAAAAAATTAATATAATAGAATTTCAAAAAATAAATCAAATCTATTTACCTGACTAATTACATTGAATACCATATATGTCATTAAGTAGATACTTAATTTTTAATATGGAGTAAACATTATTTCCTGATAAAATTTATCAGAAATAGCTTAGAAATACAACATAAAGACACAAGGTATATTCGAAAAATTCAAAATTTAAAAATTAACACTAATCAGAGTTTATGTTTATAGTAAGATCAGTTTCAACTATATATAATAATACAGAAAAAATCAAATTTAATAAAGAAAATCCTAAAAAAATCAAATTATCCAGAGTTATTAGATACAAATATGGATACATGTCTTGAGTTCGATTCTACTTTAGTTCGACAAGTAGATATAATTTTATAAATTACTTGGTATGTAATTAATTAATTATTTGAAATAAAGAAGATAAAAGCTTTATATAAATGAGAAATAATAATTTTATTTTGAACGTTCATCGTGTATTATAGCTGATAACTAAATGGTTGTAAACAACATATGTAAATATATATATATGATAATAATAATTTATATATATATATATATATATATATATATATAGATTTCTAGAATTTTTGTCATGTGTATGTGTGTGTGTGTATGTATGTGTGACAAAAATTCTAAAAATATCTAATATTCAAAATTCATTAAAATAATAAATTAATATTATTAAAATAATGAAATAATTTTATTAAAATAGTGAAACAAAATCGTATATTAAGTTAAAGAGTTATTTAAAGAGGAAGAGATTTAAAGAGGAAGGATAGATAGAGATTATTGTAAAGGGGAAATTTCAATCTTCAAGCCCATGATGGCTCTAGTCATGAACAAAATTTTATAATGTTTTCAAAGACGTTTTAAAATTTTTAAATTTTTACAATTTTTGAAAGAAAATATCATTTTTCATTTGTTACATACATGATGGAAAATTATATTTGAAAGAAATAAACTCAAGATTGTTAAAATAATTACCTTAAACTGAGACCAAATTAATTAATAAAATGTTATATGATTTCTTGTTATATTAAGTTACAACAGTTTAAATTATCGACAATTTTTCATCGTTATTAGTATATCCTTATATTCAATACAAATTTTCAATGAAAAAGAAATCCATGAATAATAATTCTTTGTAATAAATCCCTTATTATGTTCTCGTAAAAATTATTCCCATTTCGGATATTTCATAAACAATATTGCATACAATTTTACACATGTATTGTTGATAAATAAAAGACCATAATAATTATAGTTAGTTATTTTTGAATGAAATAAAAATATAACTATATAATATTAAAAGTAAAAAAAAGAATTTTCTAGAAATTTTGATATCACAATGAAATATATGTATATAATACATGAAGGTAGTTTAATTTTATATCATTAATTTTTTTATATAATTAATTTTATATATAAAGCACAAGTACATGTATGTGTATGTACACGTATGCATATATTGGGTTATATATTGGGTTGGTGCATAATTGCGACTTTTTTCGGGATCCTTTTAGACTTTGAAAATTGATGTTTTGTTTATTTTTTTCACAATAATCCTCTCTTTTCAAATAATGAAAATGCGTATCGAAAATCATATCCATATTCGCCATATTATGCTCTACCACTTCGAGAAAGGTTGGAATGCAACTCGGTCATTTCGCGATCTCAACGAATTTTTTGGCGATGGAACAGTCAGCCAAAGCCAAATTGTAAGATAGTTCAAGAAGTTCAAATCGGGCGATACAAATCTCGCAGATGAAAAAGGAATAGGTCGGGCCAACAAATTTCGAGGTTGCATTCCAACTTTTCTCGAAGTGATAGAGCATAATATGGCGAATATGGATATGATTTTCGCATTTTCACTATTTGAAAAGAGAGAATTATTGTTGTGAAAAAAAGTAAACAAAACGCCAATTTTCAAAACTAAATGAGTCGCGAAAAAATGCGCAATAATTATGCACCAACCTAATAGTTCATGGAATAATTTCGAATAATATTTCTATTAATAAGCGTAATATTTAACTAATGAATTATGGAATATGTGATATTTGTCACAAACAATGCACTGCACAATTATAACAAAATTGTTAAAAATTTAACGAAATTTTGAAAATGTAATATAAGGAATATGTAAATGCGGAAATATAATAATTTTAATATTTTAATATTAACGATAATTAAAAATGGTAACGATAATTTTTAATAGTTGAAAATTTTGTTAGTTAAAAATTTATACATAAGACCATGTATTAATAATTTAAAAATTTTAATTTACTATGTAGGAACTTCTTTCTGATATAGAGTAGAATGATTTCGGTTACTTCGTTTATGCTTACTAGCTTCACAATTCGGTATCGAAGTTTGACAATACTATAATGGGTTTCAAAATCATGTTGCTGTTTCATTCACTAGTTCTCCAACTCACCGTTGTCTAAACGTAGAGTGCGCTAAAAAATTTTTTAGTGTGTTGGTATTTCAGGTCACGGGCCACGAAAGTCCGTAAAATGAAATGTCTATTCATATACCTCGTCTGTGCTGTTTTTAAAGCGTAGAGGGCGCTAAAAAATCAATGATTTTTTTTCAGGTCGATAGAGACACCGGGGACCCGGTGGACACGAAATTGATGTCCGGTCTATGTAAATTAGTCAATGATAATAATATACATATCTACTGTGCTATTATTAAACTTTAGGGTTTCTTAATATATAATCTATTACTATATCCTTGAAATAGAAAGTGATTAAGAGAAAACGCGTCTTGGAAATCTACGATAATAAAACATTATTTAAAGAGGATCCATAGTGAACAAAAGATTAAATACCAATTCTATTTTGCGATTGACACGTTGACAGAGGTAGATTTAATAAAAAATGAGAATAAATGGGTAAATTTGACGTGTGATCGCTTCACAACATGATTCACTAAACAAACTGTTATGTTTTATGAAGAGAAAAAAAAGATTGGACTTTAAAAAAAATAAAACTTTATAAATTCACCGCACAATTCACCGCAATTTCAGAACGATTTAAGATAATAATGAAAGAAGTTCGAGTTATAATTCAAAACCAAGACTTTATTGGGCGTTTAGGTTCTTTTATAATATTGGGCGTGCACCAAGTGGTGGCCGTAAGCACGAACCTAAGTCGCTGGATTTGCTGACTGCTAATTTTGAGAATAGATAGGGTGACTGGCAACATGTGGCGATGTCGAATGCCACCCAATGTGTTGTAGCGACACCTACTTCCGCTCAATCGTTCCTCCGAAAGGTGCGTTTTCATGAGACGGATAGTACCACTTTTTTTGGCGTGAAATAAGCGACAGCGCGGCAAAAAGCTGTTTGAAAAACAAAAGAAGGTTCTGTTATACACTAGTTACAAACGTTTATACTTTATTTGAAAACAAATATCAAAAATAACACAAAAAGTTGTTAGAAGTTGTGTATATGTATGCATATTTCTATCAGATGAATAATAATATACAAAAAATTTGTACATATATTTGAAGTTACACGTAAGTTAAGTTTAAAACAATAATTTTATGTATCATATCTTTTGATATTATATCAATTCATTACTTTACCTTCTTTATTTATTATATAGATTATATTTCAAATGCATAAAAATATAGATTTTTTTATTATTAATTATACTATAATGAAAGTATATAGTAACATTATAGTTATGTAAATAAATTATCTATTTATATATATATATATATAAATTTTGAATTTAATTATATTAAAATCTGAATTCTAAATTAAAAATATTAATTTATTTAACTATTAGTGCATGTTGTGAAAATAAATAAAATATATATTTCTATAAAACATTTTATTTATACTGTAATAATTGTTTATGATCTAAATACAATATATTTTTTAATATTACATTTTGATCAGAATGTAAAGAACCAATGCACATTTCAAAAAATTGAAAAACATTAGCTAAATTATCAACATGACCATATAACGTAAATATAAGACAATAACGCCATATTAAAGGTTCAATGTCATTAGACAAATTTAGTAATAATAAAAGTAGATTTTTAGCTTTACTCCAATTTTTTTTATTTACATGCGATTTTATTTCAGAAAGTATTCTGTATTTTGAAGAACTTATTGGATGTTGTCTTTTACTTCTTTTATAATAGTGAATAATTTTACACTGATTATGACTATTCTGTGATTTTTCAATCTTTCTCACATTTGCTTTCTTTTTTGACATATTTTTTTTATTTAACCAAAGGAATTCAATGGCTTGTTTCTGAAAACATATTTTTTAAGATTAGCAATTTAGATTTATAATAGGAAAATATTTTGTTACATACCACTTTTGTTTTTCCAATCTTCTCCATTTTCTGTTTTATTTGTTCAATGAAATTTGATTTAATAAATCTTATTAATTCAGTGAATGTAATTGTATTGCTTAATACTGTTCACTGTAATTTTATTTAATAAACCCTGTTCATTGAATGAATGTAATTTTAATAAAGCTGAAATAAAATTTTATAATTCATATAAACTAAATATGTAATCATATTTTTTATTTATACTTGGTTATAATAATAATTATAATATATAAAGTTATTTCTTTGTATTTGAAAATATGTAAAATAAAAATATTTCCTTACATATCACTTATAATGTAAATATTTCTTTACTATCTACACAAATACAGTATATTTATTTTAATAATAATAATCACGTATATTTATTTTAATAATACAAAAATCACGTATTTATTTATTTTTATTTATTACAAAAAATAAAAGTTTATTACTATGCAAAATTTTATTAATATACATGTTAAATTAAAAATTAAATTTATATAATAACTAATAGTAATTTATATAGTATACTATATTTTACTTTTATTAAATGATAATATTTTGTATGTAGTAATATCTGTACGTTTTCATTTATCAAACTTATACCTAACCTACAAAACACATAACATAACCTATAGAACACAGTTTTTAAAATATTTTTTAATATTATCTACGTATAAAACTATATATATTGGTTACTTACATTTTTATATAATATATAATTTATATGTATTTAATATATTAACATTAAATTAAAACATGTTTTCGTACTGCAATTAAAACGAACAGAAATATGGCCAAGAATATATACTAACTAAACCATCTACACAGATGAGATCTGCGCCATCTATTAATGGACGTATTAATCAGTGTTGATGCGAATACATAAATTATACATAAATTATAATAAAAAAAAAGAATATGGCATAATTCAATACATTCATAGATATTTGTAACTACTAAACAAAATTACTTATAATATATATGATTCTTCTACATATTATGCGATTACTTGAAAAAATTAAAATAGAAAAGAATATAAAAATTGCACAATATTGTCGTGCTTGATCTGTACTGTATAAGTAAATAATATATTTAATTTGAAAATGATATAATATTTTATAATAAATTTTTTTATTTAAATACTTTTTTTATATTTACTTATATTAAATCTCTCAGTTTTTATATTATTTGGCACAGTGCTGCATATTTAAACATTGCATGTGTATTTCGGAAATTTTGAGCTTGAAAAGTATCAAGTACTTCGTGATCACGCGTTAATTTTAATGCATTTGCGAACTCTTTTGAATAATAAATTCAACTCTGTTGAATAATAAATTGGAAAACAAATTTAGAATTGCAATGGAGTTTAATTTTATATTATTCTAAAAAATTAAATTTTACAAAAGCACATCAAAATTCTTTAACTATCTGATGAATTTAAAGCACATCAAAATGAATTTTAAATCTATGTTTTTCATTTTTTAAATTTCTTAAAGATAAATGAATGCTTAATAATTATTGTATATTATATTTTATATTATTATAACAAAATATATCTTATTAGCTTAAGATTAATCTCAGATACTTAATGTCTTAATGTGATCGTTCAAATAGCAAACAGAATATTTCAATTTGACATTTAATCAATTAATTAATAAATCAATAAATATTATTAAATACAAACTTGTTATATGTCACAGTTCATATTTGGCGCGTCAAGTCTAAGTTCGTGCGATGGTTAGTTCTTAAAATTTCCAGAGAAAACCACAAAGCAATATGTAATTGAATATAATATGATAAATATGAATTTATGAGTGGAGTAATAAACAAAGGAACTTACTGAATGGAGCAATTTAACACATATTTTATTTATTAATATAGGAAATTTTGTTATTAATAAATCATGATTTTACTATTAATAAGTTGTTTATTATAATGTTTATTTGTTTAAAGTAATTAATTAAAAATTTAGGAAGCTAACTTCAAGCATAAATAACTAGATATTTAACTAACACTATATAGTAAAATACATATATACAGTATGTAAGCTCATTATCGTATTAAGAATAAAAATGAAATTGTAATATAATAATATAATTAAATTACATTATATGAAGTTTGGTACTATCTATATCTATTGATAAATTAAATTGTTGCATATGATTAATTTCAAATATCTAATTTCTTTTTATTTAATGATAATATTTAATTAACTTATCTAATAATAATGTATAGTGAAGTTTATTAGGGTAATAAATTTCATATAGAATAAATAATTTTGGACGTAAAAGTTAGTTTTTACAGTTATAATAGATATAAAAGTTTAGTTTTTACATTTAATAACTTTTAAAAGGAACTTGTTAAATATACACTAGAATAAATTATATCGCAGTATAATATAAAGTATAATATAATATCTAATATTAATATATAATATATAGTATGAAGTTTATATCTAATCTATATTTCTAAGTTTATATTGTAATATAATCTATAATAAGTTTATATATATATTTAATAATTTATATTAATATACTACAATGTTACAAATATAGTATTGAATAAAATTGTAAACTAAATAATATATGATTTTTATTAAATTATACATATTTATATATAACTAGGATGATTTCATTCATATGATAATTATTGTTTGATCATGATTTAGAATTTGAAATTAATATTAAGGATAATTATATATATACATGTAGCCTTAACTAGTGATTATTTTGTTGCCAATAATATTCCGACTAAATTGTTGTATAAATAATTATATTAGTCTAAATTAATTTTCTAAATAAATGTTATATTACTATTTACTAAAATTCAGTTTACAAGTTAGATTTAATTTATAATATGTTATGTTATCTTTCTAGTATTAAATATGTCGCACGTGCATGAAAGTTACTGAGTAAATGTTTTATATCTGTAGTTGTATAACTTTTGTCAATATGTGTACTTCAGTAAAAAATTCACGAATGCAGGTAAATATATAAGAAATTTATTTACGTTGTAATATAAGACATTTATTTATAAGGATATCATTCCTAATATTTCATTTATATTAGCTAAGTATATAATATTTAGAAATATGAAGATATGTAATTATTTTTTTTCTTATTTAAATAATATGAGGTTATTGGGTACTATAAAATTATTTAGAGTTAGATTATTTGATTTGAAATTTTTAACTTACATTTAAATTACTTATTATTTTTTATCATAAAGTATAAAATAAGGTATACAAAATAAAATAGAAAATAAAATAAAATTTTAGTAATTTGATTTAATATAGATTAGTATAATCATCTATAATTAGATTAGTCATCTATAATTTAATGGTATTTGAGGTTAAAATTACCAATTATTATGTAATGAATGAAATTAAATGAAATGAAATATTTTCATATGTTTTAGGAAAGTGAGAAGTGCCAGACAATATTTGAAATGACAATCAAGATTTTAAAATATTTTTTACAATGTTTGTTTATCCAATTTCATATAATATTTGATTTTTTGATAGATTTCATTTTTGGGTTATATTATGATTCTAATATACAAAAAGTATCACCAGTCAAAAATAATTTATTGTTAATGAGTGCAACAGAATTAGCTGAAAAAATCAGGTATTTCATTAATTTATTTTATATTAAATTACTAATATTATTCAATTAATGATAGAAAGTTACTCATACAGAGTGATTCCAATTAAGCCACGTTATGTCATTATTCAAAATAAAGTTAAAG